ACTTCATAAAAAAGGACCACCAAACTGTTTCTTTTTTTTCCCCTTTGGCTGGGAAATGAAATCCAGCCCTTTGTGCTCCTCAGAACTGAGCCTTTCCCTTGTGCCTGGTCTACTGACCAGGGAGAGTCTGCTGCTGCTCTAAGTTTAGGAATGAGGCTGCTGTTTCTGCTGAAACCTTTCCATCCCCCCTCTCTACCCCTATAATCACTCAAAAAAGAAAAAGCTGTTCCTTCCATCCAGTAAGATTCTGTATTTTTTTATTCCAGTAGTTGAATCTTGCATTAAAATAATCTTAGTGTTCAGCAGTTATACAGTTGAACAGTTTTTGCCTGTAGATCTTGACATGCTTTACAAAGTTCTCTTTCCAGATAGGAAAATGAAGCACAAGGGAGGTGAAGTGACTTTGCTCAAGGTCCCAGGGAAAAACAATAGTAGAGTCAGGAATTAAACTCATGCCTTCTAATTTCCAGAATGGCAGTCAATCATCCTGGCCAGGCTGGAGCTTCTTAACCTATGGCTATTATTCCTTTTTAATTAAGCCTTTTATCTATGAATTGTATCTGATTCAGATTCCAGAGAAAATTAATTGCACACATCTAATTATCTCTGTAGAACTGACACTCAGTTTGATACATCTCGCCATACAAGTCAGACAATAGCTGTGTCTCTGGTGTATGGGGTGGGGGTCTCACTCCTTCCTGAGCAGTACTCTTTAAATGACTAATAAATAACAACCCAACACTCAGAGCTTTTGTAAAGCATCCTTTGAATTCTCAGTTTTCTAACTCAAGATAGAAATCTAATTTATCTCAAGGTTGCTAAAGCCTATTAATAAAGTGGATATATTATTCAAGAGGTTTTTTTGGTCTGTAAAATTATCCAAATATTCACAGGCAAACTTACATTGGGATGACAAAAGAATGTCACCATCCCTGCAGGAACTCAAATCCTGGCAAGATAAGGCTGTGAGCAACACAACTTTCAAGTCAGCACCAAGAGATGAGCTGGACTATGTGACATCCAGATGTCCCTTTCAACCTAAATTACTCTATTCCTCCCTAAAATATTACACATGTATTTATATGTAAGTAGAGAGTGTGAATGTGTGCATATATATATTTGTTTTCAAATGTTGAGTTTATGTACACAACAGAGCCAAAAAGCAAAGGCCACATTTTTCTTGGTGGATCAAATGTGTGTATTTGTAGAATAAGTTGATCTTGAGGTAATATTTAGTGGTAAGAAAGGAGCGGCTGATACCGGCCCTTAAAAAATTGTAGAAATATACTTGCTGCCACCTAGAAATGCTGTTTGCTCACTTCTTTTGTCTCAGCTTAGACAATGAAAATAAACTGTCTTTTGACTTCCTGACAATTTAATTCCCTTTCAGGTTCTCAATTTCTGCAGTTTGGGCAATTTATATATCCTTGACAAGGAAATATGTGGATTTGAGATTTTTTTAAGTAGCCATTCTGGGATTTTCTTCACAGAAATCATGGAATCTATTATTTTGAGGCTCTGTAGAAGCTATTCTTTAAAGAAATGTTTGAAGAGTTTATGCAGCCCTTTAACAGTAGCACGATCCCTTTTGTTTTATCTCTGGGCTACTGAAAAAAAAGGCAAATAAAACCTTTGCCTCAGACATTTAAGAGGGATATGCAGAGAGTCACTTATGTGTATAAGCAATGTTTGTTTGTGTGGCTGAGCTCAGCCTGTGCTCCAGGGAGGCAGAGGCATAACCCTGCTCCCCCTTGTGTGTTTGGGGATGGGCAACCACTGGCAGCTCCCACACACACACTTGGCCGTTATTACCCCAAAACAGAAGAGAAAAGTGGGGGAAAATTTATTGACTGAGTAAAATGCTGAAAGCAAAGTCTCAGCCAGCTGTGGCAGAGATAATTGTGGGGTGTTTTGTGAGCTTCACTTTGATAATCTTCCAAAGCAGGCAGTCTGGCTTGCAGGCAGTGACTGTGTCTTTGATTCTGGGACAAGCCGGAAGAAGCTGCTTGACAACCCATGCAAAATATTTAACTGCAAAAAACAAACAAGACTCTGGACAGCAAATAAACAGTGGATTAATTTATGAGATTTTAATGATGGAAGAAAAGCCCATTAAATCCAGGCATAAACAGCTCACATGGGAGCAGCTCAAGACCATGGAAACCAAGCAAGAAATGCCTGTGTTGAGAACACGCAAACATCCAGGGCATGTGGTGAAGGGAAGACCTGCTTGGCTCAGGAGCCTGGCACAGCCAACACAACACTTCACCTGATGCTTTGGGTCCGCCTGAGCAGGACTGTGAGGTGGGAGATCAACATTTTCAGGTTCAGATTGCAGCACATTCATGCTTACTACCTACATCTGCACCTAGCAAGACCTACTCCCTACAGCATGTCAGATCCTAGAGGCTGTCAGTGATGGGCTTTGTAGGACACCAGTTGGAGGCGATGCTCCCAGACAATGTTCTCTTTGTTGGCAATATCAGTCCAACAGCAATTCCCCTCAGTGATGCTGCTGCCTCCCCTCATCCCCAGGGCTGAGATCAGGCTTAAAGCTTCGGTGATTCACAAACAGATTCACAAGCACAGTGTTGCCTCAGGGGTGGGTCAGGCTGCTCATCATGGTGAAATGTCAGGTTCAGGTGACTAATCTTCTGCCGTAGTGAATTTGTATATGATAGATACCCCGCTAGATGGAAAGGGATTTCTGCTCCCAAGATCTGAGCTGGGAAATCTGTGTAGCTAACAACTAAGGTGAATTGAAGCAAGCCCAATTAGACCAATTATCTCTTGTGTCTTCCACTTCTTTGGAAGAATGAGAATTTTTTATAGTACAGTCACTTTAAGCTGATATAAGCCTGTGCTGCTGCTGAGATGGGACATTTTTCTCCCTCCTCTCCCTGACTTCCCATTCCCATCCCTGTATTTGTGCTGACAGTAGCTGCTATGTGGAGGCATCAGACAACTGATTGAGCAAAAAACCAGTTTGCCATATTTGTTCTTGGATGGAACTTCCTATGCTACGAGTCCATTCTGTTATCCTGCAAAAGTTTTCCTTCCATGCCTCAGTTTATCCATCAGTACATTGGCAAACACTACTTAAGCTCAAAGAAATATTATTTCAAGTTGCTTTGAAAAGTGCCATGTGCAGTAACAGTGCAGTGTACATAAGACCAGATACAAACAGATAGATATATCTCTAGAATTTGAGTCCATAGAGGATGACTTTTTCAAAGTGATTATTTAACCATTTTGTGTTCCACAGATGAGAACATGCCCGTTTTTATTTGATTTCATCTTTATTTTTCAACATGCTGCTCAAAAACTGCTGTATTGAAGAAACAAGCAGTCAGATTTGAAGAAGCAATTTATTAAGGCTGTTAGTAGGGAATGTTTGGCCATGTAATAATTCTGAAAGGATTCTTTAACTTCTCATTAAAGAAAAGCCAGCTTCAACCAAGATGAATCCTAGCAGCAGCTTACACTTTCTATAGGTTTGTCTCATTTTTCTGCTCCTTTCTTACATGGCTCTTATACCATTGTACAAATATGCAAGTTGGTATATCAGGTGTGATGCAGTGATCAGGTGTATGGACATTGACAACAGGAAATGCTCTGAGTGCAACACTGGCTGAAACAGTGGCTCCATTGTGGTGAATGTAAAATTCTCCATTTGATTTCAGTGAGGCAAAAAGGAAGACACTTTGGAAGGGAAGAGGGATGTTCCCTTTAAGAGACTTTTACTGGGGCTCTTGGAAAATTATGTACCCCAAACCCTTAATAATAAAGGAAAGTGCAGGTCTTTATTGTTAACCTTTTTGGCTCTGATAAACTACTGTGCAAATTATGTCTATTTGTCTCTTTGATGTGTTAAGAGGATGAAAGGGATAATGCTTTCTCTAAAACCACTTGCTTCTCTTTAGAAATTATGTGCCTATTACTCTTTTCAGCAGCTGGGCTAATTAAAAGAGGAGCTAAAATACATCCCTGTTTTAGTTTTACTCAGTGTGCTTACTTTACAGTCACAGACATTTGCTGAGTAATTAGACTGCTGCTTCTACAGAGTCAGTTAACATCCTTTTCTGCCTGTAGTGTGTGCCTTCACACAGTGGCAAGTGGGCAGAGGCAAAAAGAAAGGATCTCTATTTTAAAAAAGAATCAAAGCCAGTGGAAGAACACAGGAGGAAATCTACAATACTAAGTGGAATCTGCCCACTTCATAAATGCACACTAATTCAACTGTCTTTTTTAAATACCCTTCTCCTTTAGTTTATTCTCAATGTTTATTGACCTGGCATTTGTGATCTTATCGGAACTGTGGCCTTGTGGCTTCATTTGAGAAAAGCTGTGGCAGGAAGAAATAGCCAGGTTAAGGCTCTTCAGAGGTTGCCACATCACCCTTTAGGCTTTGATTCTCTCTGGGACAGAGGATCATATTCTGGGCAGAAAAATTGTATTAGTATGATCAGGAAGAGAATTTGTCTTCTCTGTGCTGCAAGACAAGGAGCAGGAGCAGGTAATGAATGTAGAACTTTTGAGTAAGTGACAGCATTGATGATGTTAGACTTCTGCAATAGGGGAGAATGTTTGGAAATCTGCGGAGAAACAGCAGCTGCAGTATTGAAATTCATGACCACATAACATGAGAATGTGCTCGTGTCCTAAACGTAGAGGAGTGGCGCTGGACCTGTCTTGAGGACTTGCCACTTGCAATTGTGGAGACCCACAACACGTTGACAGCTTAACTTGGAGTTAATGTTGCCCAGATAGAAACATTTCAGATGGGCAGCAGCAACCCTCCTCAAATTTTTAGTCCTTACAGCTCCCATGGAGTGTGTAGTCCAGCCCTAACCAAGGACTGAAGATGCTCTCAGTCTGCCAGGCCTCTGTCCCTGCTGATGGCTTGCCTCCCTCCCTGGCCTTCCTTCCAGTTTTCCCCTTACCATGTCCCTATTCTTGCAGGAGGGAGAGGGGCACCCACACACCCAAAGGAGGTCCTGCTGCTGTCGTGTGATGGTCAGGCATCCTTCAGGCTGGTGGAAAGAAAAATCCTGGGCATTGGCAGGCTTGCTGGGACTCCTGGGAGCTACTTGAAGAGACCTCAGGGTCAAAAGTGAGTAACCCCAGCTTTTTTTCCCAAAATAAAAAGCAAGTCTCTTTCTCTTTGTCCATGCTAGAAACCTAAACATGTGAACTGAAGTAACCCATTTGCTAAGATTGAATGCATCTGGATGTGTCTGAGTGCATCTGGCCTTCACTTCTCTAGACAGAGGCTGGAGGGGGAGGGGAAGAGAGGTTGGGAAGGGTTTAGATAGGCAGAAACACACAAAAACACATATATTTTTAAGGAAACATGAGTCACTTGCACTCCAAGTTTATTCCAAAAAGTAAATTCCCAGACCGCCCTGACTCCTGCCCCCAGCTCTCGAGGCAGGCCCTGTGCAACTGGGTGTGATAAATATGGATAAAAATTGGATACATCTGTGGGGAGGAGACAAAACGCTATTTTCCAACCTGCCCTGACATGTTAAGGCCACTGCACTTCTGAATCGCTCCCCTGTCTCTGAGAGCCCCTCCTGCTGTGGCTGGAGGGGGCTCCTGGCCCCTCATGCTGCCAGCTGTGTGCCCAGCAAGAGCCAGCAGCTGCTCCAGCAGCAGCAGGGCAGGGGGCAAGGGGGACAGGGGGCAAGGGGGACAGCTGATGTCCATGCGTCCTGCAGGCTCTTCTCACGCTGTTCCTGGTGTGCAAGGAGTGCGTGTTGGGGGAATCAGCACCCTCCCTCCAAAGCCCACAGCCCTTGTGTACCACTGGCCATTGTTGTCCTTTCTCCTGCCTCCCCTTGTCACTGCTGCCTTGGGGATTAACTGCTAGATTACTCTGCAGACCAGATTCTTGCCACGACAGAGATGTGCTGCCCCTGCAGCAGGAGGGGTTTATGCCCACCCAGCTGCCTGACAGCCACAGCCTGTGCCCAGGGATGCTCTGCCACTGGCAGGGCTACTTCTGTGCCACTCCACCACATGACACATGCCAAGGAGCCACCTTGCCTGGCCAGTGTGCAAGGTGGCACGTGTCTGAGGGACACTGCAGGGACAGGTCAGTGCATGTGGCACAGAGGTGGGGAGAAGCTCTCTGTGCTTGTGGCCCAGGGGGAGCTTTGGCAGGAGCCCAGCCTCCCAGGATGGCTGCAGGTGCTGGTGGCCAGCCTGGTGGGCAGATGACCCTGGTCATCACCCGATCCCTGTGTTGTGAGGGCTTGGCAGGGGAGAGCACTGCAGAGGCAGACTCTGCTGCAACCCCTGCTGAGGGGGGCTCTGAAGCACCATCCTTGACACCAGTTCTTTACAGTCATTGAGATCTGAGTGCCTGCAGATCTGACAGCTCCCCTGGTAAGAGGAGTCAGCAGTGCTGAAATATGCAGCAGCTTCAAGAGTGGGTGACTTGAGGGCACCTCACCTCCCAGTCCTTAGGGCTGCAGCTCCCAAGAAAGCAGCCCACGATGCTGACAGCTGGCTGCTGCAAGCAGGTCTGGACACCTCCAGGTGTAAACAGCCCAGATTCGTGGCCATAACTACAGCAAATTTGCACTCAACAGTAAATGCTTTTTGCTCAACCTTATCAAGATAATACTTGCTGGTTCAGCAGAAACTGGGATGGGGCTTGACTATAAAAAAAATCATTCTGCTTTAACAAGGCTTTCCCTTTGAGAGAATAATATTGGAAGAGCTAAATCCCAGCTTGGAAACAATGTGTGGGTTTTGTTTTCTTTTTTTCCTTCACTTTTTTCTCCCTTGCGTTCATTCTTGGTGTTGGGGCTGGAGAGGAAAATCTCTGTCTTGCCAAACTAAACAAATTACGCTTTACAATTCAGAGACTTAAATGTCTCTTTTTATCATCATTTCCGTAGCACTGAGTGTTGAGAAAATAAAAGGAGCAATAAGAAAAGTGATTGCATACATTTTTCTTAATGGCCATTGGCAAACAAATTCAGCCAGTTGTTTCTCTTTAAGGCTATTAAGTTTGCCTGAAAATCATTCCTGAGTAAAACACACGCACACACGCACACACATGCTCTCCATGCTGACAAGAAAAAAAGTACATAAAGCAGAGCCCCTTCTTTCTGTTATTGCTGTCCCTGCAGACCTCTGCTTCCCATGACAGCGCATGAGATCAAACCCCTGTGACCACGCTGAAGGGAAGGGGCTCATTCGACCATGCCGGGAACACACACGCTCTCTTACAGTACCTCTTGGCAAGCAGGAGATGAGCAGGAGCTGGAGAAGGGTGAGTCCTACAAGTGTCCAGGGTGCTCGCTCCATACTGCCCAGGCCAGCAGCGGTGTGACTGCTCGGGAAGGGAAAGCAGGCAAACAGCTTTTACCGGGACCTCACCAGCTCCAGGCTGCGAGGGATCTCGGATTTCAGACCTCAGCACGCTCCCATCCTCACCAGAGGGGAACTACCTTCAAGAGACTTCTCAGGCGTCCAGAAGCACACGTCACCCCAAACCTCTCCAACTGCTGCCTTAACCCTTTCTGGACTCTGGCAACAGATCCCTTTTGCGATGGCTTTATTGGCTCAGTGCTCAGAGCAGAGATAGCAGCTTTCCTTATGTAAAGAAAGATGTTTTAAAGCAGGGAGAAAGAGGAATGCTGATATCTCTCTGTATGAGCCATCCCGGTTGCTGCGGGTGAGCTGAAGCTACGGACACCTCCAGAAGGAGGCACTTTGTCCTTGCTCCCCTTGGGCTTGTGGGGGCTGATGCATCCCCGGGGGTGGCAAGGCTGGGTGTGGGATGGGTGCAGAGAGGGATTCCTGTCCCACACTCCTGCAATTGGGCAGCCTGGCCAAGTAACATGGTTCACTTTACAACGTGCTTAAAATAGCCGTGCATTTTTATGGTGGGGCAGATGAATGAATGAGGCTCAGTAAAAGTTCACTCCACAGCGGATGAAAACCACAACACACAAAAGGAATCACTTGGCATACGTGTGCTTGTGCTAGTCAAAACCTTTTTAGTGTCCGTTTTTTGCCAGGAAATGCAATTTTGGCAAAATTGAAATGTTTTGTCAGAACATGTTGATATTGAGGAAATTTTTAATCCAAACAATTGAGACCATTTAGTTTGGATTTTATCTTTGTGTCATATTCTGTTTTGCCTTTTCTGTTAGCACATGCTACTGACTTTTTCTCTGGTCTTCAACCCATATTTCATAGCAGCATACTTAATTTTCTCTAAAATTTTTCTTGAACAATTTTTTTAATATTTTCCAAAGGACAGTTTTTACCTCTGAATCAGACTTTCTCAATTTGATTTCTATAGTAAGATTTCAAAATTTATATATATTATGAAGGGAGAAAATTGAAAAATTGGCATTTGCTTTGGAGTAGGAAATCAAGTAACCAAAAAAGCTTTAACAAATACCTACAGTTTGGAAAACTCAGGCATGTTGAGCAGACCCAAAAATGTGAGAGGCATTGCCAATGGAAGCCTTGAGTAGTTCAGTGTAGTGCAAAATCCCCTATACCTTCAGGTGGTCTTTCATGGGGTGAATTCCTTTAACCAGACATCTCTCTAGTTTAGGCTTGTCTGTGAGCCAACCTCTTTTTATACTGTGAATGGTCTTTTCAGGGTTTGTGCACCTTCCATATAAAACAGTACCAAAGTATTTTTTTTTCCCAAATCTTTAACACTACCATTGGGAATACCAATAGAAGAAGACCTGAGATAGGTGCCAAGATTTTATGGCACATAATCCTTGCTGAGCTAGCCTGGCTGCTGCCCTGGGTGCTTTGTAGCCCAGGAGGAGGTCACCAAAGCTCTCCAAGTCCCACTGGGCCTTATTATAGCTCAGTTGCTACTTTCTCCTGGAGTCCTTTATGGACATATCTTGCCCCAGGACCCTGAAACTCTGCCTTGGTGGTCCCTTGCTCCTTCTGATCATTCATACATATGGTCTAAACTCCTTCCTAAATCCAGCTTTGGGCTCCTCTAACAAGCCATTTCTGCTAGTGGCAGGAGGAAAAAAACTGAGGATAAAAATGAAGCCCCCAGGAGTAGATGAAAACAGTGAAAATAGGAAGCTCTTACATCTTCACAAATAAACACTAAGCTATTTTAAAGCCTGTGTAATCATGATTAGTTTATTTCCTAGCCATTCTTTCCAATAAGCAATTAAATTATTTAAGCTAGTAAGACCTTTTTGGACTGCAAGTTGACTTACAGATGTCTGAGGCTTAGATGTCTCTGAGGGGGACTGCTCATGGGGATGTAAGCCAAAATCTGGGTTTGGTGTGTAAAGTGAATGGAAATCACAGCACTGAGTGAGGCTGGACACAGGGAAGCAGAGTTTTAAAGCCAAACACAGAAGATTTAATACTTGGTTTCATAAAGGCCAGAACCACTGGGGAAAATATGCCCACAAGAGCCACAGTTATTCATTTGGATCAATTCCTGTGGTGAGACATTCAACATGCTAGAAAAGGAATAGATGAAGTTGTGTCTGCAGGAATCAGCTCTGCAGGGACACCTTCTATTTTAGGGTGGAAAAGTGGCCCTTGTGTACTAAGGAGGTGTGAACTAAAGAGTTAACTGGTAGATTTATGACTTTTTTTTTCCTTTTTTGGTCTCTGAGGGAATGTAATTATGCCACCAGAAGATATAGCCACACTCAGCATGACTCTACAGTGCTTAGCTTAGCTCGGCACCTTGCAAAATCAGTTTAGTCGCCTCCTTAGAGAATGGTTTCAGCAGCCAAACAAGGGAATTCAGTCATGAGCCCACAAGTTTGCACATGGCCTATTTACATGGGCTGTCTGTTGGGATGTAGCTTTAGTCCCAGGAATGACCATGGGCAACTTATACAGTGCTCCTGAATGCACTTCTTGCATTCCTATTAAGAGGCAGGGACCAAACCAGGCACATTGCACCAGCCAAATATTTCAGTTTGTATGTAATCCCCCATGAAAGAAAGCTAAAAGCTCTTAACCATGTGTCTGTGCTGCTGAGGAATCTCACTGTAGCATTTGGCTTCGATGCTGAATCTGCCTTACCATTGAATGTACAGGTTTGGAAAGTACATTCCACTGAAACTGAATTGTAAAAGGGAGTGCTGCAAAACTGATAGAGTTATTGTGTATTAATAATAACTTCCAAGTACCTAGCAATCCATTTCAACCTAGAGTAAAGCAAGACCTTTAACAATTAATAATTGACCACTGAGTGAATAATTAATGTGCAATTAATAGCACTAGTTCCTGTTTCTAATAATTTGCCATGAAATCTGAAAAACAGTGTGTGGTCCAACCTGCAAAAACAGAAAGAATGACATTATTTTATACTGGGGGAAGTGACATGCAGAGATGTGAGCTGAGGCACATACCCTGAAAAACAGTGTCAGGTCCAGGGTGGAATACAGAAACTTCATCCCATTTGGTACTTGTAGCTCTGGACTGTCCTGCTTGAGAGGACTCAGTGAAGAATAATTCAGGATGGATATGTAGTTATGTAGTTCTGAATAAATTCAGTTTGGACTTGAAATAAAAAATATTGCTTTTCAGTCTTTAAAATTTTAGCAAACTTTTTATTTCCCCCCCCCCCTAAATCTCTTGTTTCTGTTACTGGAACATTGCCAGAAAAAATTCTACTTTTGTGACTTCTGTTCAGACGATTCTGTCCCAAATGTTCCTGATCATCATCCAAAGCTCCAGAGGTTCTGCTAGGAGGAAATCTGTGATTTTCAATGTTATTCGCTTCTGCTACTACAGAATAGATGCCTTCACAGGACCTCCTTCTTACAAGAACATTTGGAGCCCATTTCTTTTTTACGGGCAATATTCCCATTTAACTAGAGGAGTTTTCTGCCAAAAAAAAGGTTGAATCATCTGGAGTCAAACATGCTCCCAAGAAGATTGTTGGAATTAGGTTTTGAACTTTAATGACTGCCCAATAATACCCATGCCACTCAAACAATATATGAAGAAACCACTGGAAAGACATCATAAAAGAAAATGGACCCATTGAGAGGGTAGAAAGGATTTGTATCTCAGGGGGAAATGAAGTTCAGATGAAACTCAGATCTGGCACTTCAGGAGTAACAGCAAGAGAGGTTAATGAAAGATTAGCACTAATATTTTGCTTCTCCCTTCAAAGCATTGTTGTCCAATATGGAGAATCCTTTTAGAGGAGCAATTATAAAGTGTTTGCCTTTAAAATAAGGCTTCTAAACTAAATTCCAGACCTTGCTGGAATATCTGAGGACCATTTTATAAGTTCCTAGGATTATCAAAAATATACTTTGCCCTTTGGGCTTCAAGTTCTGCTGAACATGTGCAATGCAAGTATACAGTGTTATGAACTGGAGTTGTGGAAGCCTACCCACACAGGCACCTACAGATAAGGGCCCTTTGTTTGGCTTTTTCTAGCCAGAGCTCTGCAAAATATTCCCATCTCTCTGTGGGGTGTTAATCTTATGACTGAAGCATTACAGTCCAGGAGAGCTAACTGGATGTGAATAGAAGGGGCCAAAGAGGTAGGAGCTGCAGTGCCAGCACACAATACAGCCCTTGACCTAATGGGACATCTAAAGAAAATGATAATGCTTTGTTAGAAAGCATTTGTATTTGATAATGTATTTGTTAGAAAGATTTTATCAGGAAAATTGAAACAGTTTAAAGTTCACAATTCCGAATATATTTCTGGACAGGTCAGCATCAAAATATGGTCAGAAAGATATGACTGCTTAATGGCACCTACCAAGAAATATGCTTTTCTTCAGTTATTATTACATGTCTTTGTCGGGATGTTTTTTTCAGTGATCCTTCTGTGTTTCACTTTTGTATGCAGTCTATGATAATCTTCACCATAGCAACATGCTTGAAATTAAAACTAGCCAGTAGTCAATCCTACTTAACAATCAGTCAGACACTGATATTATTGTCTAAGGGGATAATAAAAATGGGCTGCAATTATTTATATCCCTGTGTGGAAATTTAACAGCTTGTAGATTCAGTCATTCTTGTGATACACATTTTTCGTTTGAAGGTTATCAAATAAGGCTTTCTAAGTTAATGAATACAACTTTTAGTCAGTATAGCAAATTCCAACTGATCACCAAACATCAGAGACACGAAGATTAGGAATTATTTTGATTTTATTTAAGTTGGACTTATATTTTATGGTCTTGGGTAAATGAGAATTTATGTGAATCAGGATGGAAGCCAAGAAAAAAAGTAAGGTTTTGGGACAGAAACCTAACCATGTTCCACCAAGAAGGCCAACTGCAG